TCTTGCTAAAAGGCTCTGGTTATTATACAATGGGCACGCATCCCTTGGGCAAGAGAAGTCCATACATTTTCTTTGTTTTCAAGGGAGCGTACAGAAAAGTAAGCATAAGGCAAGATGAATAGACTAGATAATAGAGTTACTCTTTAGATTAATTACCTATTACTTAACAAATTGCTACAAACGTAGCAGCTTAAACCAATATACACCTATAATCTCCACTTCCCTGGGCCAGGAGTTCAAGCACATCCTATATCTTCTGTAGCCTTCCCAAGAAGCAATCAAGATTTCAGACAGACAACTTTCTTATCCGGAGTTGGGGCCCTCTTCCAAGCTCACGTGTTGTTGGAAAAATTTAGTCTTTGAAACTGGAGGATTGAGATCTTTGCTTTCTTGGTGGATATTGGCTGGGGACACTCTCAACTACTACTGGTCACTGCAGTCCCTTGCTACATGGCCCTCTGAAAGGCCTCTCATAACATGGCGGGTGATGCCTTCAAAGTCAGTAGAAGAATCTTTCCTGTGTGCTAAGTTGGAGTCTTACATAACACAATGTCATTGTAGCCCATCACCTTTGCCATTTAAAGTACTCTAACCAAGAGAGCAAATTAGTCATCTTATTTATAATTTCTGCTCATATTCAAGGCAAGGGGCTCATGCAAGGCTTGTATACCAGTGGGTCGAAACCTTGGGGGCCATTCTAGAATTCTGCCTGCCGCAGTTTTTTCACTGATATTTACATTAAGCTCCCAATATCTATTGTTGCCTTTTTTGTTTTCTAACTCTTTCTATGAAGAGACATGTTGGAAAAGATATTCTCTTTTGCATTGAAAGGCATTATAGCCTAGAGGCAAATCATTCTATTTATGAAGAGAATATGCAGGGAACAAATCTGGCTATACCATTTACTAGCCATGTGACCTTGGGCAAATTACTTAATGTCTCTGTGCCTTGGTTCCCTATCCATATATAAAATAAGTAAAATAGTAGCATTTGTCTCATAGGTTGACATGAAGTTTAAATGAGATACTACCTAGATTTTAATAAACACGTGGCTATTAATCCTTTACTTTCTGTAGATGACACCAGCCATGAGAGCTAACTAGGAATTAGAAAGACTTACTTTTACATATTTGGAGAGTTTCTGAAATTGTGATCTTTCATATTTGTCCATTGTTCATTTTCCATAAAATCCTCATAGAATCTCTGTAAAGAAAGTATTGTTATCCCTATTTTAGAGAAACATACTGCAGGTTCAGAGAAATTCAGGAAATTTCCCAAAGTCACATAGCAGTGAAAAAGGCTGAGAAATAAACTACTAAATTCAGGACTTCAGAGTCCAAGGTCAGAGCTCTTTTCAGTACGCCAAAAGAAGAGCTTAGAATTAGGGTGATTTGTTCAATTAGCAAGTATTTATAGCTCTTATGTCAAGTATTGTTACTATTTGATTGTTACTATTCTAATGGTAAACAAACACAGGAAGCTTGTATTGATTATTTCCTCTGGGGTTTGTGAAGATTAAATAAAACAGCATATTACAAAGTACCTACCAGTGTCTGGGCCAGAGAGGGTACTTCCAGGAGGCAGGCCAGATCACGAGGTTGGGATGTGGTAGGCGGGGCTTTCGCATAAAACTGACAACTATTCTAGAGTTACCCTTCAATCTACAAACAGGTATTAATACTTCTTACTTACCATGTGCCAGGCACTGTGTTAAGTGCAAGAAGGTTGCAATCAAAGGAAGAGATATCCATGTACTAGTTCTAAGTGGAATATTTATCAAGCAATAGAAATGTAAGACATTGCTACATAAGTTGAAGCAATATATTCATATTTGTTGGGCTCAGAATTGTTTTATAGAAGTGGAGTTTAAGTTTGATATTGATGCATTATACCATGTTGGTAGTCGGGTGGGCCAAAAAAAGAGCATACTACTGGTAACAATTTCATCCATGATTGTATTTAACACTTTGCTATTTGCTGGCCAATAAAATAGTCTCATTCTCTGCTATCTCTCATTTAATTGGAAGAATCCTAATAACCCGTGGGTTGATCATATTATACATTTAAAATACAGAGAGAAGAAAACATACATGCAAGGTTAAGATCTTAGAGTGGATGTTCCAGATGCAAAGCCTGAGGACGGGACTCCTGTATTCTTGAAAAACACACTTACTGAGAATAGGTAGCAGAACAAATGGGGAAGGTAATGTGGGAAAAGGATGAAGTTTGTGAAGAAATAAGCAAAAGTAGCATTTCAGGGGAAGTCTAGCCTCAGCCTGATCTCACAAGGAGCTCTGAGCGTGAATTGCACTAGAGGTTGTCCTGCACAGAGACGATGAGAGTGGACTATTACCCTAACACCCCCATGCTCCATCCCACATTGTCAGCCAATCATCAGTCATGCCCTAAGCTTAGGAAAGCAGGGGAGTGGGTTGGCAACACTTCCCAGGCATCTTCAGGTGAGAAACTCCTGCCAACGAAGGGAAATCCTTCAGAAAATAGTACAGGGTAAGCCACCAGAAGCCAACCTTTGTAGCAGCTAGGGCTAAGAGCACTTCCCTGGTAAGTGAGGTCTGGATGGAGTGTGAACAGCAATAGGTGTAGTCACATAGCTGGGAAGTAAGTAAAGGAGGGAAAAAGGCAGTGCAAGTCTGTGGAATGGTTCAAAAGCAGTTTTATTCTGTCTCCTAAAGTCCCAAAGGTTTTTAAACACTAAGTAACGTATGCACTGAGTTTATACTTTTTACCTACTTTATCTCACTGAATTTGAGTTTTCCCCAAAACAGAGTAAAGTACATTCTCTGCCCATTTTTTTCGAGAAGGAAATTGAGTTTCTCAGAAACTGAATCTAAGATCCCATGACGAGAGATTGGTGGAGTAACGATGCACACCCATGTCCTCTGGCTCTCTCTCTCTCCTGTGATCTATCTGGGACATTGGGCAAAATGGAGTAAAGGTCCTGATGTCAGGGAGAACTAAAGCACCAAGGTAATTTCCTACATCAAAACACTTTAGTGAGACAACTGAATCGGATGATGTCCTTAGCTTTGGCCTTCTTTCCTAGTGTGCTGTTCAGAAAACTCTGCACGTTGCTCTGGCCTTAGCTCGGGTTGAGTCTTCCTCAATCAGCTGCTTCCAGTTAGAAGCATGTTTTATCACATCTCTGTTACATCAAATCCCAGCCACTGCTTTGCTTGAAGGTGATCTTGGCATCACCCTAACTGTCCCAACCCAAAACCTAGATGCCCATAATTTCCTTTACAGGCTCTGCCTAATAGACAGACACATATGCTTTATGTCTTATGTCTTCCTCCACTTACCCACAAATAGATGGACTGGAAAAAAAGCAGAGTAAAGACATTGGAGACAAAATTTCGTTTGTAAGAAGAATGTCTCTATCAACATGGGCAAGCCCTGTAATTTCTGAGTTTTCTTTTCTTTAAAATTAGTAGCCTATTTCCTAACTCTCAGAGTTGTTGTGTTGGTTATAAGCAACATATTTGAAATACCAAGCACACGGCAGGTGTGCAATAAAGGATAGTTATTTTTATGCGACAGATACAGCTGCCAGGAGCCAAAGACACATGGGTGCCTGCTAAGTAAGTGTCCAGCACTCCAGCCTTGGAAAGCAGCAGCCTCTCATCGAGTTTAACACATTTGGCATGCCACTTAGACACATCTCTTGCCTTCCTCTACCTTCTACCCCCGGCCCTTCCCCATGACCACTGTCTTGATGTCTAAAGCTTCCCTTGTTCGGAATGCCCTGCTCTGGTGACACCATTGCCATCCATGCCACAGCTTTGTGGAAATCCCACCATGAAGCCTTCCCATAGGAAGGTCAGGGTCCCTGTGGCCCACAAATTAAGTGACCTGCCCTGCTGTGTGACCTCTAGGAAGATTCTCCATCTCTTAGCATTTCTGACAAATGACATTCTGGAGAGAGTCTCTGATATTTTCACCTACTCTTGCGATATGTGTTATCAACATTTCCCATTTCTGGGCTATTTCCCTGGCGTGAGCAAGAATCCTTTCTTCTGAAAAAAAATGATTTGAGATCAGGGCCACTTTTAAATCTCGGTTACCTCTTCTCTATAAGGGGGCTAGCTGATTTCTCCCAGGGATGTTGCTGAACTGAATGCCAAACCATGAAACACATCTCCCCACCCACACCATACGCAGCCACATGTCTTTTCCCTTGCACTGCAAGACCCTGTGTATTTTTATTAAAACCCAGAACAAATAGTTAGTGACTGCTAGTTCCTGTTATATTTCCTTTTAATATTCTTGAGGGCTTAATACCACGTTGAGCATGTGGTAGTGGCTCAAGAAAGTACAATTTTAATAAATAATGGTGACCTGTGACCCCACCCCTGCAATCAGCAGGCACGCTGGGCATCGGCCTCCCCTGCCTGCATCTCCTTTCAGGTGGGTAAGCCTCCCAGGACAGTAGTAAAGCGCCCTGTGCTCAGAGGCACATCACTTTTCCTAAACTCGCTAACTTTCAGGCTGTGAGCTGATAACCAGAGGGTGTCAAAAGGATTTCAACCCTGTCTTATTCCAGGAGGGGCTGTTCTGACTCTGGAATGCCATGCGTGTGAATATTCTGAATCTAATAGCTGAGGCTTGGCTCGGTTGCTCTCAGCTGCCTCTCTGGAAGGACCCACCTATATCAGGCTGGCGCCTGTCTCTGTTAATGGAATTGGTAGGAGGCATGTTTGGGAGGGGTCTGTGCCTAGTAGGTGCCCAAGTCACTGCATTTTGGCTCTATCAGGACAGGTCAGGGTCTACTTCAGGGCCTCCTTTGAATTTCACAGTGATTGGTGAGATCTATTAATAAATACCTTGGGTAAGTCTGGAGTGATGGCTTCTTACCTTTTCAAGGACTGGCTGGGGTTGTACCAAAAATGAATAAACAGACATTGCTGCTAGGATCCCCGATTCCTTGCTCATGGTAGACTCATTTGAACATTCCTATAGTCACGACTCTGCACCCCCAAATAAAAACATATCAAATTTACATCCACTGATCATTTTACGCTGGACTACACCCTCCATTAACGATGCCAGCCCCAGTAGCTAGATTATGTTCCATGCGCTGGTCCTGTCTTCCTCCACTCCTACCCCCAGCTCTTGCACCAACAGTTCATGCTTCAACTAGACCATCCCTGTTAGGGCACAGGACTTACAGGCAGTTTGCAAAGAACATCTTCTTCAGAGTCAGAGACTCTCACTGCACTTTCCTTTCAGTCACCATATTCCTGAACAGGTTTGGAAATTTGACTTAACCTTTCTGGGCCCTCTTATTTCTTCAGCTCTTCAACAAGTGTGATAAAAGCAAGATCCAATGACGCACTGCAGAGGGAGGCTCTCTGGCTATTGAAAAGTACCATGTCCACCAGGAGCCTGCTGTAAAGATTTTTGCTACTTCCTCTGGGGAGATGATGGTTTAATGACAACTTTAATGGATTTTAAAGAGGAGGGCATCCTCTCTGCTCTCTGTGCATGATATAGGGTGGGGCACAGGCCATGCTAAGGTCAGGTCGGGCTGGAGCTGCTGAAACATACCAAGGTGACTCACTTCCCTGATAACACTGCTGAGAAAAATGCAGGCTTCTTCTTGCCCTTCCTGTAGCTGGGACATACCTCTTAGGATGGAAGATATTTGGCACCTGGGAAGAAATGTCAAGTCAGGTCAGGAAGCACTGGCTCTGAGTCTGGGCTTTCCTTTTGAGTTCAGAAAAGGTTGGGTAAAAAATAAATACATAAATAACCTGTGCTTTGGCTGTAAGTGGCCTCTAAGCCTGAGCTTATAGTCAGTGTGACCTTGGGCAAGTTTCTCATGTTCTCTGAGCCTATTTCCTCCTCCTTGAAATTTCCTTCATGATATCTGCATCCTGGGGTTGCTTGGAGAAATTTCAATGAGTTCTTAAGTGTAGGAGATGATTAATTATGTCCATTTCTGTCATTTTCCTTAGGCATAAACTATGTCTGGAAACCAGATTATTTTGGTTGTTTGTATTTTCTAACTATAATGAATGTTTTATTTTTATTAAAATGTCCGATGTGTTTAATTTTGCAAAATCTGAGCTGTGTGAAGAATGCATGAAAAAACTGAGCCTCAGAAGGGTCTATGTGACCATCTCCAACAACCTGGCTATTAAAACTGAATACGGGCAGAGGTAAAACTGAACTCCAGCCTCTTCTCTGCGGACAACTGCAGTGGCTCTCTTACATGCTACCTTCAACTCTGCCTTTTTCTCTTTTTAACTTCAACCCTTGGGAGCTTAAATTTTGTTTCACATTCAGGACTCCAAATTTAGAGTTGACTTTGAAACATACACATATTTATGTCTCAATGCATATGGAATATACGTCTATAATGCCAGTGGATCTTGCAGGAAATAAGCAGACTTTCAGACTAAGCAAAAGATTACTACCCTTCTAGTCAGCTTTTCAAAGAACCTGCAGTAGGAAGACACACATAGATTTTGCAGTTCCTCTTTTCTATTCTAATTGGCTTTCTGGAGGCCAGCTGCCACCTGGGGCAAAGTACCCAGGCCCAAGATCATTCTGAAGGCCAAGGGTTTAATCCTCTTTATCGTAGGTTGCCACCATTGCTGAGATCAGAAGCACATGCAAATATACTTTGAGGCCAAGATGGATCCCAGGGGACCTCTAGCCAGTTACTAGCCGCTTCTCCATCCTGAATATTGCTTTGTTCACTTGAAGTTTACATGTGGCTAAAATCCACATTCAGCTACCCGCTGAGTCAGGAATGGGTAAAACTGTGACCTCCAAAAATGACAAGGAATCTCCGAGGAGATAAATCTTACAATCTAAGTAATAATAAATCTGATGATCACGATGATACATTAAAAATTAAAAAGAGCAATGCAGAAAAGAGAGGGGGGAGAGAGGATTATAACAGCCATGAAAAACATGTTTCTTTTTAAGTAACAAAGAATCTAGATTTTGCAATGAGTGTAACACAGACAGCTATTTTGAGTTGGGGGCAAGTTAATTATATTCAAAAAAAGATAGCGTCTCCAGAAAAATCTTTTTTTTTTCAGTGAAATAGTTTAGTTCCTTCATATAGAGACATATTACACAATGTTAACAACCATGAAAAACAATACAAAATGCCCTCCATTTAACAAGTAGAAAAATATAACTAGTATATATGGCAATTGTGAATCTAATACTGTACAGAGTACTTTATGGATTTTTACAAATAAATTATACCTTAAATGCTTTCTTAAAATTCTCCCCCCCCCCCCGAGATGTACACCAGAACTTACAGTAGGAAAGTTTCTGAGCTTAACTTATTGCAAATCAGTGCCAGTCAAATGTCCTGCCAACAAGCTCGAAGAATTTCTTATTTGGCTCATGAAAATATTCGTGCAGTTTATTGAGTAGTTTGGGATCCACCTGGGGGTGCGCCCGACCTTTGGACTCATGTAAGCAGCGGTCCCGGCCGCTGTCCCGCAGGCAGTAAAAGCCCTTGGTTTTGTTAAAGTAGAAGTTCGAGGCATTGATCTGCGGCGACAGCTTCAGGAACCTCTCGACCTTTTGGATCTCGGGGAAAGGGTCCCTGATGAGGCGGTCGCCGTCCACGATGTGGATGTGGCGCAGCGGGAAGAAGCGCAGCCAGTTCTGCATGTGCACGTGGTAGAGGCTGCGATTGAGGGCCTTGTAGTCCACGTTGAGCCGGCCGTCGCGCACCAGGAACTCCTCGATGGACGGGTAGGGCTTGCGCTTCTGCATGTGGTTGTAGAACACTTGGGTGTAGTCGGAGAGCACGCGCTCCGACGGGTCTCGCAGGATGAGCAGCAGCCGGATGGACGGGTTCATGCTGTGCACTCGCTCAGGCACTTTGGGCGACGTGAAGTACGCGGGGGTCTTTTCCACCGTGAGCTGGTGAGGCCAGGAGAAGGGCATCTGGCTGAGGTACCAGCCCAAGCCGTGGTTGTAATGCTCCTCCCAGTCGAAGAAGTGGACCTCGTTCTCCGCGGCCGCCACGTCGGGGTGCAGGCTGAGCATCTCCAGCAGCGCACGCGTGCCGCCCTTGCGCACGCCGATGATGATGGTCTGCGGCAGCTGCTGGGCAGAGCCGTTCGGGGCCGTGCCTTCGCGGACGTCATCCTGGAGGGTCCCGGCTTTCCGCAGAAGCTCCTGCTGGCCCAGCTCCGCGGGGCGGGAAGGCACTAGCTGGGGCTGGGCCAGCAGCAGCACCGCGCCCAGGAGCAGCGCGGCCATGCTGGACACCACGGCGGCTTCACTGGGCCGCGCGCCGCTGGGTCATGAAGCGCCGCAGCAGGGAAGCCTCCCAGTCAGTGGCACATCGGTGCCTCAGGCCTTCAATTACTAGGGGACAAAAAGGGAAGATATTAACATATAATAAATGCGGGCTCATTCAACTAGCAACTCTGTAGCCACTCTGCAGCGAGAGCTATATTCACCTCCCCAGGACTCTCAGTTTCTTGTCCTAAACGGGAGCGGAGGGCAAACATTTTCTGCAAAAGGCCAGAGCGACAATACTTTAGGCTTTAAGGGACATGCTTTATGCCAACTCCAACTCCAACCGTGCTATTATAGATGGAATACAGCCACAGACAGCACACAAGGGAATGGGTGTGGCTGTATTCCAAGAACACTCTATTTATGGCCACTGAGTGAATTTCATGTAATTTCCATGTGTCATTAAATATTATTCTCCTTTTTACTATTGTTATTTTTTGCAAGCATTTATATGTTTAGCTGTTTGTCTGTAAAAAGCAGCGGTCCCCGCTGCTGTCCCACAGGCAGTAAAAGCCTTTGGTTTTGTTAAAGTACAAGTTGGAGGCATTGATCTGGGGCAACAGCTTCAGGAACCTCTGAACCTTTTGGATCTTGAGGAAAGGGCCAGGTTTGGCCCACCAGTCAGAGCGTGCTAACCCCTGCTATAAAGGAAAGGATTAGGAAGACCCTTTGGAACTCAGCAAATGTCAATAAAAAATCTGCTACCCAACAGTCCCTGGAAGAGAGCAGGAGATATAGAAGTAGGCTTTGTTTCTGCCCGCTACTCTTCTAGCCAGGGCCTCCTAATCTAACAGAGCATGTGAATTAGTATGAAAGAGTTTAAAATTAGTCCCAATTCTTCACCTTGTACCCAACCCTTGAATTGGCCTTGCCACTAGCATGTGAGCAGATGTGACAACTCACCAGTCCCCAATCTGGCTGCAAGAGGCTTTGTGTGTTTTTGCTCACCCTCTTTCACTCTTGCCTGTGCCATGAGAAAACTATGTCCTGGCTAGTCCATGGTCCCAAGGGGAAGATGAGAGACACACATAGCCATCCCAGCTCATGAGCGAAGATGCGTGATTGTGGTTTTAAGCCACTGAGTTTTGAGGTGGTTTGTATTGCAGCGGGAAATTGGCAGAAGTTAATCATTGCAACATGGCTATAGGCATCAGGGTGATATACGTTATGACTGTAATTTAGGTGGGGTGCTCTGAAGACACATGTTCATTCATTTTGTCTGAAATAATTGGGGATGGTTTCATAGTAGAGGAAACATTTGAAGTAGGCCTAGAGGGACCACCAAGTGAAATTACTACAAAGAGCAAAAAGCCTTCATGTGTACAAAGCTTTACTATTGATAATGTGGCTTCATACTCAGCTCAGTTGATTGTCACTACAACCTGACATTAAGGTAGGAAGGCAGGGTAGATGTCACCACCATTTTTAAAGGGCAGTTTTGTCTAAGGACACAATTCTATTAGTCTGTTTCAAACTTCAGAGATCCAAATTCAAAACTCTAAACTTGGTGTTCTTTATCTACAAACCACCTCTTTTCCACAAAACTTCTCCTCTTTACCTACTTAAGATTTATAACATTTAGGAAGTAAGGTCTCTCAAGGACACAGGAACTGCTGACCACACGCTGTGGGGCTCCGCAAGACAGACCAGACAAGGGTTTATGTTTTCAGGGAGCCGATACTCATCAATCTGTGTTTCACACTCTCCCCAAAGGAGGAGGCTGGATGCTCTCACTTAAGTCATTTCTGTTAAAACACATTAAGGGAGGGGTAAGAGACAAGCCTGGCTTGGGGACTGCAGGATTTACAGAGCTAGTAAAAATGTTCTTTATCAAGAGGACTCACCATCTTTTGTATGGTAGTTTCAAAATTTACTTTGTTAGTTTAAAACTTGTCTAGAATGAATAAAGGAAGAACAAATTCCAGGACATCCATTTTTATGATCAACCAGCTGATCTACCTTTCTCAGATATTGTGTTATCTGCTTTAAAAAACATATTAAAGAGCAAGTAATCAAACAGATGGAAGGCTTTAGAGAACCACAATGCACTAGAGAAGGGACCTGGGAGATCAGTGATGTAGCTCTTTAAGAAAAAAATCAAAAATGCTTTAGAAAGGATAGCCAAGTCTGATGAGGTTTCAGGTTGGTTTGACTGAGTGGTGAGCCCAATTTAATGGTCCAGTTGCTTTAGTCAACTGATGGTTTCAGGGTGTTTCAGTCGAACTTCATTTCCTTCTCAAGTCACCCATATGGTTCGACCAAATGTACCAGCTGTGCTTGGCTTTCACATGTTTGAGATGTCAGTATGTGTGTAATTGTGTGTGCGTGCTTGCCTGTGTCTGTGTGTGTGTGCATGCACGTGTGTGTATGCAGGTATAACAGGTAGGTCCAGTGAGAGAGGGACTAACTACTACCCTTTAGAGAGCTATACTGTTTGTTGGGCATTGCTATCCCCATCTTACAGTTCCATGTTCAGACTCAGGGAACAATAGATCCAAATTATTCTATATTTAAGTGTAGAGGCAGAGACCAGATCTGAAATTCATATTATCTGACTGTTTATGCTCCTTCCACTCGAGCCTGAGGCATCCTGGTTAGTGTAGTGTACATCTGAAGTTTCTTTCCTGAAGGGGAATTACCAGCAGACAATAGACAAGAAACAAAATACAGTTTGTCCTTTCTGAAAGAAAACAACAGCACCACACTGGGAAGTTAAGTAGCTTAAAAGCTCCTTGTTTGTACTTTAATACTATCTAAACATATATTTACTTATGTCTAGACGTTTCTCATTCAAAAATATTTGAGGATTATAGAGAAATAAATTAGTTAATGTCTTACACACACATATGCATGTATACATGCACACATACACACATGCTGTATATAGCATATACATCATGTTTGTAAATATACACCATGCATATCTTGTATGTGTATACATAAAAATGTGTATAAGTATATATGCGTGTATGTGTATGTAAATGTATGCACACCTATATTCATATCTAAATACAGTATAACCTGTATTATATTACATACACACTGTGGGCATTGGGAGCCAACTTCTTCTTGTTGTGGTTTTGTAATTTGGACTTCCCAATGGCACTTGGGAAAGCAAGGCGGGACCTCCATTTGCAGGAAAGGCCTCCTTAATGTTGGCCAGACTGGTCTTGAACTCCTGACCTCAAGTGACCTGCCTGCATCGGTCTCCCAGTGCTTGGATTACAGGCAAGAGCCACCATACTTGGCCTAATCACTATATAAATAATTTCTAGTTGTTTTTGTAACACTCGCAGAAACAAAGAGATTCCAAAGCTCAGGTGAACCTGTAAGCCATTCTTCTGGGCCACCTTGATCTTGACAATGAAATCACAAACATCAAGGATGAAGGAGTCACTTAGTCCCTGCCTTTCACACCCCAAGATGACTTGTCCAATGTCACATAGTAATTCTGTTCCTAGGACTTTTGGCTCCTGAATTCCAGTTCCATAGTCTAGTTGCTATTATTACTGTCTTTTGAGTAAGTGGTTATAATGCAAAATAATGACAATGTTTTTGGGATTCCAAAGAAGAAAAACCCAACAAAATATACCCAGCAATATAACTCCCTGGCCACCAACTTCCAGTGTCAGCTGACACCCAGGATATGTACCATACAGGGTCAAATTTGCTTATTTGTTCTGTTCAGTAGAAGGCCCAAATGAATTACACAGGCTCTGAGTTAGGATTCCTGTCTCTAGTTTGGACCTTAGTCAAAGTGACTTAACGTATCTAAGCTTCAGTTTCCTCATCTGTAAAATGGTAATAATTCTACCTGCTTCAAATGGTTACTTTGAGACTGAAATGAAATAATGTGTGTCAGGACTGTCTGATACAAATAGAATATGAATCACATATGCACTCAGACATTTCCCAAGAGTCACATTTAAAAAAATGTATTTTACATAACCCAATACATCTACAATGTTATCAGTCTAACATATAATTACTGTACAATTTTGTTTTTGAGACAGAGTCTTGATCTGTTGCCCAGGCTGGAGTGCAGTGGTGTAATCCCAGCTCAGTGCAAAGTGCAATCTCCACCTTCTGGGTTCAAGTGATTCTTGTGCCTCAGCTTCTCAAGTACTGGGACCACAGACGTGTGCCACCACACCTGCCTAATTTTTTGTATTATATTCTTAGAAGAGATAGGGTTTCGCCATGTTGGTCAGACTGGTCTTGTACTCCTGACCTCAAGTGATCCGCCTGCCTCGGCCTCCCGAAATGCTTAAGCATAAGCCACCATACCTGGACTAATCACTATGTAAAATTAATGAGATAGCTTGCATTTTTTCTACCTAGTCTTCTAATCCCAAGTGTGTATATATTTACCTTTGTAGCACATCTCAAGGACACATATGGCTGGTGACAATTGAGTTAGACTGCACAGAGATAGCCAGCACTGGTCACATTTGCAGTTCTTAATCTGAAAACTCTTTAAGTGTGGAAAGTACTCTCCTGAAAGCAAGATTCCTACCCACTCACAGATTAGGAGCTTCCTGAACAGGAAAAGAACCAGGAAGGCAGGTTTGAACTTGCAGGCAGCACAAAAGGCAAATTCGTTCTTTTCCCTCAAGAAACAAACCCAATAAAAGTAAACAAATGGGACCTTTTGACAGTTGAAGCACTTGGCTGACATGGGCATGGATACAGAATTCTCCTTAGCACCTGGAGTGGAGGCCACACCCCTTGGCAAAAGCAATGATCGCAGCTCCCATCTGCAGCAATTGCTACTGAGCCAGCACTAGGCTGGCAACTCTCCAAGCAGGGCTTGCTGCAATCCTCACTGCAAGTCCTCAAGGTAAATGATGTTATTATTTTAAAAAGTGAGGTTCAGGGAAAGGAAGTTGTGTGTCTAGAAAGTTAGAGGCAGTGAATTCAAACTCAGTCTAAACAGACAAAGCCAGGAATTTCACTGTCACTTTCACTTTTCTTGGCAATGCCTGGTGTTAGGGTGCATGTTGTTAATAAACTTGGCTTGGCTTCTTTGTTCCTGTTGAATATTTGTGCCTTGCACCAATTCTGTA